CAGGATAGGGGTGATTTATCAATATCATTACAGGAATGGTATACATAGTGAATAGTCATCAATTTCTTGTTTTTCAGTCCAAACTGTCCAAATGAGCTTGTAGGTAGTTCATAATTTCAGCAGTGTATCATATCACAGGTATGGGTCAAAAATTCATGGCTTTGATGGTGTTTCCACTGTCCAATTGTATTCTTTACTAATCACATTTTAACTTGTCCATGCTTGATGTTATCCAACTGTAAAATACCCAGATACTGTGTAAACTTCATCCTGATGGTTTGGCCATTCAGCATTTAAATTCCATTACTGTTCATTATTTCACCCGGATTTATTGCTACTTTAGCACATTCCTCTAAGCCAAATTCCATTGCTGTATCTGTGTTAAATATTTATCAATGATAAATATTTTGATTTATGATTTTACATAAAACTTCAGATCATTTATAACTGTAACCCTAACCCTACTATTCAAAAGTTCAGAATATTTTATGAATTTGTTTGCCACCAACTGATGAATGGGAATGTTGGCTTTATTTGTCTGGATAAAAAATCTGCTTCCAAAATTGTTACTTAAATGATTTAACCTATTCGAAATAAGCATTGCAAAGGAGAGGAACCTATGGAACAGATACTACTCCATAGAAGTCCTGCCATTGGACAGAATAAAATATGAGGAAAAGAAATTAAGAATATGAAACAAATTTTACGAAATAAATTTACTCAAAATTCATTGAGCGGGCCTGTAATGGCCTAACATCTCATGCTATTCTATTTAATTAAAAATCTATGGATTAAAAATAATAATCAAAAAGCAAACTGCAATAAGCACTAGTTTAAAAAAATATTCTGCTTAGCATTTATAGTGCAGTGTAATAGCTTTAAATGTATTGACTGCAATGGTATCCCTGATTTATTCTTAAATATAGCCTTATTACCACAGTCCAGATTCCTGGGCTCTGTTTTGTTATCTATTCACCAGTTTCAGCACCAGGAATAATTGAGAGACATCAGATATGCTTGTGTGCTAAATATTTCATGCTGTTTGTTTTCCTGTTGTGTTTTCTTTCAAGATACAGTACACATATGCCTCTCTGTCTAAACCTGTGTGGGGAACACCCAAACATTAAATAGATTTCTTGGCAAAACACCATAGCAAGATAAAGATAGACTATACTACATGCGTCTCCTTCTTTGAATGGCAATTACACAAGGAATGAGATCAAATCAAACTGTGGCAAGAAGTGATACCACAACAGGCATATTTCCAAGAATTTAAATAGAAGGAAAGTTGAAAATGTCACCATTTCCCAAATCATTTTCAGAACACTCTCTAACACAAACAAACAACCAATTTTCTTAAATCTGGATAAATGCAGGTGATTCAAACTCATATTATACTGTGGTGCCTATAATATAAAATATTTAAATTAAATCATTTGTAGTTATTTAAATGTATTGGAATCATTAAAAACAATGCTAGAAAAGTGTCCCATCTTTTCCATGTAGTAATAGAAAATATAAGATTTTGAGCACAATCTGGTTTAATTTATTTGATTATTCAAACTGATCCAGAGAATTCATAATTATGCATTTAAATAAGTTGTATTTCACTGATGTTACTACTATGTGTTGTTTTTTTCCTTGCTTCATTTCATACAGAAAACTAAGTTATGGAGATCCTTGTTCTTAAATAAATATGCAGTTTGATTATAGATCACTTCTATTCTTTCTTAACATGGAAATACAAAAAGATCCCTTAAAATAGCTGTTATAAAAACAGATTAAAGATCTCAGTTAAACTTTAGAATGTTTTATTTTATTTTTTTAAGAGGTTAATCAAAACACATATTTTTTTCAACAAAAGATGCTTTATTTATAAGTGCATTAAAAGCAATTTAGAAATTAATTATACAACAATGTAAAAGCATTACAACTAAATTATTAATATAAGCCTCATTAAATTTATTATCATTCTTGATGTTAAGTTTGAAAGTGGATAGTCATTTTCCTCCATATGATTTTCCACATAAAGGTAATATTTTATTGAATGATGGTGAACAGACAATATACAATAGAAAAGCGTGATGAGCAATCTAAATAATTTTGCCTGGTTCTTTATCTGTCTGTCTGTCTATTTCTTTCTTTGCTAGACTGAAGTTAGAAGTATGTGGCCTATTGATGTTTTTCTCTTATCATTCTTTTGATGATTTATGGGCTGTTTGTTTAGAACACTTTCTCTGCAAAGAGATTGGAGGGGAAAGCCAGTTTACAAATTCATTTTTTATTTCATAGAAAATGTTCCCAGCTCAGTGGAGAGGGAGCTACAGAATTTTAGATTCCTTGCTTTATATTATTTTAAATGTAATAACAGTATCTTCTGAGAAAGTTATATGCATAATTAAAAAATAAATTATAAATATTGTTTGGAGAAACAATATTGAAAATCAGAGTGATTATCACACCGAAATAAAGTTTCGGTTAAAGTTCATACAGTTTTAGAATAAGTTTTGGATCACATTATTTTTCTTTCTTTCATGCATAAGCAACAAAAATATTATAATGTATATTATTCTGTTTAAAATCTCAAATTTCCTAAAAGGGATCAGTATTTTTTTAAAAATAAAAGAATATCTTTGATCCTGGCAAATCCATCTCTTTCAACCTTTCTTTGCTTTTTTTTGGACAAAAACTAATTGTTACAGAAGGGCCCTGGTTGTCATTTTTCCCTACTGGAATTTTGGCAAAAGTAAAAAGCTGGCAGAGGACAACACATTATATTTTTTAACTGTATATTAAAAACTTGTTTGTATGCCCTTTATCCTTACTGTGTGCTACAGTTGTGACTAGGAATTGCTTCAATTGCATTCCCTTCTTTGGCAAATGCAAAGCAGGTATATAACTGAATGCGCGTGCGCACGCGCACACACACACACACACACACACACACACACACA